CAGTTAAATTCTAATTTTTTATTTTAACAGCAGCTGAAGAGAATGTAATGTACAATATCAGAAAGAAAGACTATCGAAATGACAGAATTTACTTTTGCAGAAAAACTGCAAAAGTAAATTCTGTATAGACTAGCTTTATATGTAAAATACTGACATTATGCAATTACATTTTTTACCACTATTATATAGTGATGAATAATATAATCATCTGAATGTTTTTTCCGTTCTTCGTATAGTCTACATATATCGGCTGTTTAAAACATGCAATCGAACGTATTTTACTATACGATGACGTAATTCGACATTCATTCTGTTCTTTTCCATCTATATCACTATAGGTGAAAGACAACGTGAAGTTATGTTATTCGTCACCACATAATATTGATAAAAAAATGTAATTGCACAATGTTAGTATTTTCCAACATAAAGTTAGTCTATACAGAATTTACTTTTGCAGAAAAACTGCAAAAGTAAATTCTGTCATTTCGATAGTCTTTCTTTCTGATATTGTGCATTACATTCTCTTCAACTGCTGTTAAAATAAAATAAAAAATTAGAATTTAAATTCATTTGAAAATTTGTCCTTTTCATTGATTTTATATCAGAGCAGTTCTATACTCATCAAGTACTTTCATTTTATACCATTTTCACCATGGGGAAAAATCCATGATTTTCGACCATCCCCTTCATTGTTGAAAATATCGGAATATACGATATAGTTTTTTTTTAAATAAAAACCATAATCTTGTCTAATTAAACAGTAGAATCATTACTCTGAACATTGTATTCAATTACTGAATGTTTTATTCATTTGAGTTTATACACATATTCGACAATCGAACAAAAATATTCTTGTCATAATTTTGTTTTCATGTATGCTCAAATTTAATGACAATGTCATTCTTCTAATAGTTGTAAATTTGAACGATTTCATGAAAGTATATTTTTTGAGATTTGATCTTAGATATGTGTTTCTGACCTTCAATAGCACATAGGAAAGTATGAGAAGAAAAATTTACAATACTTAAATCACTGATCAGACTAATGTAGATATATACTGCAACGAATAATAATCAAAGAAAATTTTGTGAATGATCTCTCGATTTTCATAGAGAATCTAACAAGAGTATGTTGGTTTAAAAACTTTTCAAGGCCAACAAAAAGAGATGTACGAGATAATATAGTAATTGTTTGTCATAGAATTCAACTATTAATTTAACTATTAGAATCTTAACCTTGGATGATATTTATTATCTGTAGATTATTCGAATCTTTTAATGCGACAAGACAACCTTGATTTTATAAGAGAAAAATTAATGATAATTTCTATATAAAATATTAAAACTTGAATAGATAATACAGTATTTCCAACTTCTCTCTTATGTATAGAAAAAAAAAGTTCAAAGAGAAGTATTAACATCACATTACTTTTTAATATATCAATTAATATTTGAACGGCAGAATCTTTTTCTTGGTTAATTACGATTTATATACAAAATTATCGTAATAAGCTCACATCACTATTTATATCGAATATTGTATATGCAATATATTGAATGAGAATCCTTTTAACAGAAACATTTTTATCTTAGTGACCTAATCAGTTGTTCAATATTGTTATAAGTGAAAAATGAATAACATCTTTCTTTATTATCTGTATCTAATCTAAAAACTGACATATACTAAAAAAAAATATCGTAATGATCATCTTCTTTCTTATTAATTGGTCTTATTTATTCTTATATAATCCATAATATACGTAAGTCTGTTATATATATATAGAACAATTCATAAGAATTTGATAATCAATGAAAAAAAAAAAAAGAAAAGAAATATTTTACAATAAAATTAGCTTTCGAACAATGTATAAATTATCTATTCAATTTAATATTAGAATTGCGTCATGTATCTATATTTATTTTGTATATTCATGTTATATTTTATTAGCACTTCCGACTACATAAATATAGGAAATAATCAAGATTTTTTTGTAAATAATTCTTTTCATTTTATAAAGATAAAAATCATATATATAATATTCATCAAAGAAGTCATTTCTCAGTAAATGATAAAATAAGATTCTTCTAATCTCATCTTTTTTCTCTTTAGGCAACAATGTAATTGAATCTTATATGCTCATTTGAACGTATAAAATTCAGAATGAATTATTAGTATACTCTAATTCATTATTAATATCAAAATTTTCAAATCATTTTATGAAATTTACGCATCTTGTCGTCATTAAAAAAGATTATATTTACTCATTTATTTCCCATGATAATGACATGTAAGTTAAGACGAAGAAAAAATTAATTAATCATAACAAACATACACATTTTGGTTAGACCTTTAAAACTTTTCTTTAAACAAATCTTCTTTCAAGTAAAGATAAGAAATGAAATTTGTTGTATTATTATTCGTGCGTGATGTAATAAAGAGCAAACTACTATAATGATGATTCTTTCAAGTCTTTGCCATTCAAATAGAATATAAACAGAAGAAAAAGTGCAAGTGTCTATCAAGCTTACGTATGTTAGATAGACGCCGTAGGACTAAATGAACAAGTAACTGAGAATTAGTCAATTCTTTCTTTTACAGCATACTCGCTGATCAACAACAGCGACGACGACGACGACGACGACGATGACGACCATGCTCAACATTAACATTTTCCAGTGAAGTAGTATTAGCAAAAAAAAAAGGGACGGAAGAAAGAAAGAGAACAACTACTACTACTAGAGAAAAAGAAAGAAAGAGTGAGAAAAAGTATGCCGCATACTGAAGATGATTACGAAACAGACGCCGAGAAGAAAATGTGCTCAACGCAAAAGAGGATCGAGAATGCGGTTAGATGCGTGCTTTCATATCTTTTTTTTTCTAGAAGTGAAAATGGGTAAATAATCATAGTAAAAAAGACTTTGTACGCTTAGATTTCCAAAGAAATGAAGTATAATAATGTTCCTAGTAAGATTGATCAAGATATAATCCTTCTATCCATCAGCCTATTCATTTGTTTATGTTAGTTCTATGATGTATGGCATACTATTCCTTTTTTAATAACTTCTTAGCTGTCAATAAGAAGTCATATCGTCTATGAATAATGACAAATAATTTTCATCTATTTCTTTTCTTTTTTTTTTTTTTTATTTCAGAAATATTATTTCATAGTAATTGATGATGATTATACAATTGTAATGTTCTGCAATTTTTTCTTTGTAACATTATATCTTAACATCTTTTTATTGCCAATGAATATTAATAGTGATGAATGCGAATTTTTAAATATGTGTAAATGCACAAATTTTCCACTTTTTACATTAATTGATACGAGTTATTTATCTAAACCACGATCATTATTAAATCAAGATTTATTTTGTACATATTCAAGTGAATATATAAATGAAACAAAATTAACAACATTTGATCAATTTAAATATTTTTATTATCGTTTTCGTACATTAACATTTGCAAATTATCCATATATACCAACAAAAGCATTTCGTTTTATTCATTTTGAAAGTCAAACTGTTAAAAAAACGCATAAAATAAATAATCGAAATGTTATTGCATTTGTTAATATTAAACAAACACAATCAGGTATATTTGAAGAATTAAGTCTATCAGATTCTCAGGAACAACTTATTATATCATTTCTTAATTCACCATTATTAATCTATACGAATGGTGCTCTTTCAAAATTAAATTGTTATGAATTAAAATTACATAATACAAATCCAAAAATCCCCATAGATTTTTTTTATAATACTCATTTTATTCATCATTTAATTATTGATAATCCTTCATTTACCGGTTTTCTTCCATCATCAAATACATTTACTTTTCAAGTTTATGAACTTTCAATAAAAGATATAAGTGTTCGTCATTTACAAGGAAAACATTTTCCTATTATATTCAATTCAGTTAAAGAATTAAAACTTGAAAATTATTATGTCAATGGTGGTTTTCAGTCATTTAATAATCGAGAATTAGCTCAACGATTTCCACAATTACGAACATTAAAAATATTTTCACGTTCAATTCAACATATAACTAAGCGAATGTTTCAACATTTAAATCAATTAGAATATTTAATATTAGATGGTATAACAACCATTGAAAATGAAGCTTTTTTTAATTTATATAATTTAAAAGAATTAAATCTTGGTCGAAATATTCTTCGTCTTGATCGATATGCATTTTTATATATGAATACAAATTTACTTTTATTAAATGAAAGTATTGATTTTCAATTAAATGATGAAAAACATTTTTGTGTATTCGCTCAATTTTCTCCATCAACTAATTTAAAAACATTTATAAAATTTCCAAAAAATTTATATACATGTTCATGTACTATCCGTTATTTATATCGACATATAGATAAATCATTTATGTCAATGACACCAAATTGTTATTCAAATTCAAGTTTATATATTTTAGCACAAGAAGAACGTTTATGTTATTTTGAACAACGTTTACTTCAATGTCATGTTTTACCAGATGAAGGTATAACTATTTATGGTAAACATTATAATGTTTCATATTTTTATCAACAACAAATAGCAAAACAACGTAATAAATTTACAATATTTTATCGTTATAGAATTTATTTTCTTATATTATTACCAGTATTAATTATCAGTATATGTTTAACTTTATTTATAATACGACAAAAAAAACGATATAATGCCAGTACATATAGACATTTAAATCGTTTAATAAAACGGCAAAGATTAACAAGATCTGATGATGTAACAATGGATATAATTTATCATCGTACAAATGGTCATCAAGATCTTAGATCATCAACAATACCTATTTCAACTAAAGTTTAAATTGTCAGATTAATTAGAAATAAAGAAGAAATCTATTCAGGGAATTGAACTATTTTTTATTATCTGTTTAAGCTAATTCCAAAATAAAAAAAAAATACATTATAGATTATTTTCTTTGGATCTGTTGTTGTCTTTTTTTAAATAATTTAAATAAAACTAGTGTCATTAATTGAAATTACCGAGACGACGTGAAGGTCGTTGATCTGAACTAGGAAAATTACGATTAATAGCTGATGGTGTTGCACTTCGACGACCACTTAAATTTGAAGCTACTGCTGCACGAGTATTTGGTGATCGATATCGAGGATTAAAAGGTTGAAATGTTGATGCTGTTACACGAGTTGCACCACCAGCAAAAAATGGAGAAGTTGATGGAGGTGGTAATGAACTTAAGTAAAAATATTACAAAAAGAAAAACTAGAAAATTTAATTGAATCTAAAATATTTATATTTACCAGGGATCTCGACAACACAATAGATTCGTATCGAAGCAACACATATCTCCAGCTCCACTTCGTAGAAGATTATTACCTTCTATAAAAAAGAAAAAGGAAAAAATTAATAATATTTTTCATAATATTCAAAAATAGTTATTACCTTTACTAAGTTTAAATGCATCCACAAGATATTCAAAATGTTTCATTTTAGCTCGAAGTAATAATAATTCTTCACTTTGTTCATTTAAAACATAATTTTGATGATCAAGAGTTTCCATACATTGTTCTAACATCTATAAATTGATTTCAATAAATATGAATTCAAAAAAGAAAACAAAAAAAAAAAAGAAAGAAGAATATTTATACAAATTGATATTGTAAAATTTGCTCTTGTACACCCATTTGACCTTGCAGTAAATGTGTACCCATTTGTGTAAGATTTATTGTCTAAATAAAAATATAAAATGTATTTAAATTTGCCAAAAAAAAAAACGCAAAATTAAAATAAAATATTTCTCTTCTTACAGCATTTCTTCGTTCTTCGTTTTCATTTTCAAGTTGCGCTAATCGTCGTCGATAAGCTTCAAATTGAGCATTTTGTGCTTGATTTTGTGCCTTTGAATTTTTTTTTCAAAGAAATTAATCATTATCTGTTTTTATAAATTACATACTACATTGGCTGCCGTTGGATTGATCGGTGAAGTAGTAGTTCCAGCATACATATTCGTTGGAACACCAGTACCTCGACCCAATGGTTGGGTTGAAGGAAAAGGTGTAGAAGGTGATTGTGGAATAGGTGGAGCTCGATTACCAAATGCCGCTGTTGTATTGTATGGTAAACCTGTTGAACCACCACCAAAAGGCACTGATCCTGACGGTGCATCGGTAGCTCGAGGCCATACATCATAGGCTGCTGTTGACGGAAAAGGTGTAGACATCATACTTTTTCGCCTGAAAAACGGCTACGAAGAATCGTAATGAACAGAAACTTTCATTTTTATGTTGCCTTGACAGACAAGAGAAATGTGTGCACTCAGGTGTATCGATAAAACGACATATGCATGAAGATAAAATATCGCCTCGCATAGAATGACTCATTACATAGGCTTGACATTACTATATTGTATATATATATGTATACATATGTAATATATATGTATATATTTATTGATCACCGCTTTCGATTAGAGTGTACTTTGCTTTAGTTATGGCCGATGAATTCGACCCATTAAAACAAACCATGGATAAACCAGTTGAACAGTTATATCGTAAAAAAATAAAATTATTTTTAGTTTAATTAATAATTAATATATTTTATTTAATAAAATAGCAACAATACAAAAAAATACAGAAAATAAGGAAGATGATCTTCTTCGACCTCAATTTGAAAATATTTTCAAAACAGAATTTAATCAAACAAACACATCTACGGAACAAAAATCACAAGAAAACGTACATCAAAAGCTTAATCATACACAAAATGCATCGAAAATTCCGGCTCAATCAACAAATCCATTTGAAGAAGATGTTAAAAAATCATCACGTCCAATTCATGCTACTGAACAGTTTTCACAAGAACAAACGAGAACAGCAGTATCTGAACAACAAAAACAACTGCATTGTCAAGATGGTCAAGGTTATTATAGTAAGTGTTTTTATACGTCAATTTTGGTTTTTTTTTTCTTCCTATTTATTCTTAATAGATCAAGATTACGACACAACAGAAGCAGAAGGTAGTTACTATGATGAATATTACGAAGATGTATCATTATATAAAAAGAAAGGACTTTCTGTGAGTATTTTTTTTTCTTACTTTTCATATTAACAAATATGATTCATATTTAGGGAAAAATGGATCGTCTTATTCAACGATTTCCAGTTTTAAGTCTTTTCTATAAACCAACAACATTAGATCCATCGCAAGCCTATGAATCTAAAGATGAACATGAATATACTGAACAATTAGTCGAAAATGATAAAGAACCAGAATTGGTTGATGAAAATCAATTACCATATGAATTAGAACCTGATGATTTAGCTTTACATGAACGTTATTCAAATAAACTACGTACACAAATAATAGATCTTCCAATGAAAGATCAACGACAACCAATTGATGTATGTATTCATCATGACACTTATACATTATATTCATGTGATGTTGGTCGAAGTATTGTGGAAATATTTGATATGTATGGAAAACTTCAACATACTATTAATGATTCAACAATAAGTAAATTTCAACCAACAGCTATTGCTGTTGCATATGATGGTACAATAATACTTTCAAGTCATTTTCGTCATTGTCTTTATATGTATTCACCTGATGATTTACAAGTACCAGAATATGCTTCACAAAATGAAATTTTACATGATGGATATCATTTTAAACAATATAAATTAGGTACACCTGGTCATGAAATACATCAATTTCATCATCCAGCTGGTATTGCTATTGATTTTACTGATGGTTATTTATATGTTTGTGATCGAGGAAATTTTCGTATACAAGTTATGCGACCAGAAGGAGTATGTGAACGAATTATTGATTTACTAGCATATCATGAGGAAGAAGAATATCAAATAGCTCCTATGCAAATAGCTCATCAAACAAATACAGAACAAATTGTTTGTATTGTTGATCAGGGTGATGCTATATGTTTTGTTCCAAAACATGCTGATGGGTAAGAAAAAAGTTTTCTATTTTTCAATTAAACATATATATCTATTTATCTGTTTATTTATATAGACCAACATATGTTGAACCATTCTATATTACTGATAATAATGGATTAGGTATTCAAGGTGCTTCTGGTATAGCTGTAGATTCTAATGATCGAATTTTTATATCGGATACATGTCATCATCGTATTATTATTTGTACACCTGAAGGTGATTATATAACACATTTTGGTGTAGAAGGTACTGGACCAGGTGGATTAAAACGTCCATGTGGTTTAGATGTAACAATGGATGGAACGGTTGTTGTTGCTGATAGTGGAAATAAACGATTACAATTATTTGGTTCAGTACGTGAACAAACAATTGACGAAAATCAAGCTTCAACAAAAGAATCGCATAATAAAAATAGTTCATGAAACAAATACAGAAAATACTAAAAATTTAAAACAATTTTACTAATAAACTCTTCTCGTTTTTTTTATTCTTCTCAAAATATTTATTGATAAATCGTCAATAAAGTTCAGTATTCATCGTTGAAATAATGATTAACACTAACATCATTTTAAATTCTTCGTTAAAGACATTATATTCTATCTGATAATAATGATGATTTTGTAATCAATTTATTATAATTTATGAAGTATATTAAATGTAATTGAGTAGCTAAAAAAAACACATATTACTCGATTTAAGAAATAGCATGTAATATATTTTAATGTACACTAACAAAAAAATATTTTTATAAGGAATTATTAATATAAGAACCGATGATCGAAAATTAATTTGACAAAAAATGTTCATTCGTTTTTCAATCTCTTAAAGGAATCTGTAGAAATTTTAAAACATTGAATTACAATCAAAATTTTGTATTGCTTCCAAATATAAGTTAAAAATTTTTAAAGGACTTCTCACTTAGGGGGATGTAGAGAAGGTCTCACGCCCATGCTCTTTGTTGCGAAATAAATAATATGACATGAATGTTCGAAAAATAATGATTAACAAATAATTAATGGTTTTCTTTGTAGCTTCGTTCACTTTTTGTTTCGAGCGCTAGAATCTGTTGATTTCCAAGATTGTTTTCTTTTGAAATCTAAATTATACATTTATTTTCTTGTTTTTTTTTTAAATAGACAACATATTTAAGATCTTCAAATTTTTTTACTATTCGATTTAAATTCTATTTGAATTCAATATGATTCAATCACTTGAATATAAGAAAATGAATTCTTTTTTCTTAAATAAGTTTCAAAAATATTTGACTAAAATTTCTTTTTATTATTAATAGTTAAAATAAATTCTTGTAAAATAAAATAAATATCTTTAAGGTAGATTATAAGTCAATACCTTCCAATTGTAAATCACGATAATGTACTAATTCATTTTGTCAATTCCATATTTGATTCAAACAATTGATTGTATGAGTAGTTGAAGAAGTAGAAAAAAACATCAATTTGAAAAATTTTATCAAACATTACATACATAACTTGACCATTAGAACAACGAATCATATCGAAGAGTTTTTAAAACAATATGAGATTTTTTAAATTTTATTATGTCTCTTTATAGCAGACAACATAATATGTTTACAATTCGAAATATCTAATTATATTTACAGTAAAATCACTCTATTATAAACACCATGGGAACTATTAAAAAGGGTTCACTATACGAGGATGTTCAATTTAGAAAATTGACGTATGATTTGCTGTGAAATGAAGAAATTGCTTCAGAATATTTAGTTTTGGAGTCATATCGATGTTAATTAAGTTTGATTTTAACTCATTAATTAATTTAATTTTTTCTTGCAAAGTAAACTCGTATCGTGATATCATTCTTTTCTTAACATGTAGAGCAGTTGCATCATACATAAAATATGCATAATCGTAGTTCAATAGAAACAGATCAAACAAAAAATATTGCACATGTGTTCACATTAGAGAGGTTATAATAGCAAGAGGGACAACAAAAAAAGGTGTGCATTGTTCAAAATAACGAGATATTCACATTAGAAAGAAATATTTTGCCTAAAAAGTGTTCCATCGAACTTGAATTCATTCATAATTAGAAGATGTTCACTAGTAGAGGTTTTACTATACTTTGAATAATTAGTAAATGAATTCAAAATAATTACCGGATGTGATAATTTTTGACTTTTGCAAACATTACAATTACTCATATTATCACTGTAAGTAATTGACAGAAAATCTAACTTCAGAATGAACATTACTAAAATATTAATTCTATAGAATTTCATGATAAATTTAAAAATATATGATGACAAATACAAGCTAAAGATAGTCCATTTTTCTTTTGTCATAACATTAATATAATTAATTTCTTTTATCTCTCTTGAATATATTAAGAAATGTCAATAGGTACAAATGTATTTATGTTTGTCAAGTAGTTTTTATTAAATAAATATGTTTACGATATATACATGAAAAAAATCACAATAAAACGAATTTTTTTTAAAGTCTATTTGCTTGAGTGCTGATCTTTTTTTTTTTTATTGAATACAAGTACACACAAAAGAAGAACGAACAATTCAAATGATTACATTTCTTGTTTTCCATTTTCGAATAATTCGATATAATACAAACAAATTATTATGAAAATTTCATCAATCTTAATCATTTTCTTTTTACTTACAGATATTCTTGCTAAGAGTATCATTCCCTGTTAACAGTTTTTATTTTTTCTTAAGCACTACTTGTACGTAATGAGAATCATAGAATTTCATTCTCTTATATTAATGATGTTTACTTAGATTCAATACACAAAAAAAAAAAATCGGATACATAGAATGCACGCATATATATATATATATTCTTCGTTAGTCTGTTTAATATAGTAGAATTATAGACAAGAAAAATCTCATATATAGAATAATTTGTTGGTTTTTTTTGTATAGACAGAAGAAAAAAAAAATAAGCAAACTGGCTAAAGGAAAAACTAACGAGAAATTAAAGGTTTATTTGATTATCGAAAAGAATTATGTTCTATACAAATAATAATCACTTAATTTCGTCGTAAAGCTTCTAAACGAGCTTCTAAATCAGCATCAGCAGTTGATATTGCTTGTGCTTGTTGACCTTGACCAGGATTAGCTACACGACTTGCTAAAGCACCATTTTGTGCGGCTACAATAAAAATCAATCAATCAATGATTTCTTTTTATACAGAATAACTTACTAGGAATTTGATTAGCAATATTAATATTAAGTTCATTAAGTACTTGATCAACAAGTTCATCACTAGAAAATTAATTTTGAATTAAGATACAAAAATTTTTCGTTTATACTATTTTCTTACGTTGCTTCTTCATCTTCATCACCTTCAAAAACAGCATCCATAGCATCATTCATCATTTCTTGTTTTATATTATTAGCAGTCATATTTTGTTCAAACATTTGCATTGTTTTTTGAAAATCTTGTAATGGCATCTTAATAACAAAAAAAAAAGAAAATATTCGATTAAATATTTATAAAAAAAAAAAAAAAGAATAATATAATAAAAAAAAAAGTAAACCATTCGATTTAATCTTGCTAATGTTTTTGTTGTTTTAACCATAACACTAGCCATTGTCATTTGAGCATTCATTGATGATGCTTCAGATTCAAGTGTTGATAATGTTGCATCCATAGCACCTAATTTATTTATTTGATTTCGTTGATTAACAATATTTTTTGCATATGTTCGTAAAGCTTTCTATTTATTGAAGAACAATTAAATGAGAATTATAATTTAATATAACTACAAAATACCTGTTCGCCTTTAGCAGCTAATTTTCGAATTTCATTCTCATTTCGTGTTTTTTCATTATTTAAACGATTTTTTTCACGTTCAAGTTCACGTCTAGCTCGTCGAATAGCTCGTTTATTTTCTTGCATGATTTCTTTTGGTGTTTTTGTATGAAAGAATTCTTTTAGTTTTTCCATAATGAATAATTATAGTTGATGATTAAATTTGATTTTAAAAAAATCTATTGAATACAGTTCTAAAGACAATTATGGTAAGAAAAATTAGTTAAACAAAAAAAAAGAAATTTGAATGAATGAACGATAGTATTCGAATAAATCATTGAGACAGACAGCTTTTTTTATTTCATGAGTCATGTCAGAGTGGAATCTTAACCAATAAGATTTTCATATATTCATTATTATTATTGACTAGTTATATTTGTATATAAATAATTAATATATATTTCTTTCAAAAATATAGTAAAGAACATAAATTGTGATCGAAAGATGTCACTAGTAAATAGACATTATATTTGTTGGTCTTCTTTAATCGTTATAGAACTCAGAATAATCAGTATTTGAACTAATCGTTGCTGCATTTTGTCAGCATTTGTCTTTTTGTGATTTCGACTCTCTAAAGAAGAGTTTTCGATCTATTTTACTGAAAAATAGAATAATGGTAAAGCAGCAATATTCACAAATAAAGAAAGGAATTACATTGTGGGTTTGCTCATTTTGTTGAAAATGTTTCTTAGGCATGTAAAGTTTAGCTACTGAAGATAAAGAAAACTTTCAGCAGTCTGTAGTTTATCTTGCTCAAATTTCTCTTACGGCTCTTCTGTACTTGTAATAAAGGAGTATTATTTCAAGTCATTGGCAATTTAATGTTCAACATTTAATCATACAAAATTTAATATTTCTTCAAGAATATTTTCTAAGTCGAATTCACTACGAAAATATTATTATTTACCACCGAAGTCAGTGAAACATGTTGACATTTGTACAAGAATTTCAATGTATTGCTTAAATCTATCAATTTAATAAGACGAGAAACAAATGTTTGAGTCTAGCCTAGCCTATGATAACTGAATCTTGGTTAGACATCAGTCTACTCAAGTCTCATGACTTCGCCATCTATGAACACGTATAAAGAGTGTCGATACTTAAATAGTGCAAGCTAAAATAGTTGATTGGAGTAATAAGTCCCTTTTCAGAACATCTTTAAATGATGAATACAATGCTTTTGCTCTTGTTGTTTATTGTGTTCATAGATTTTTTTTTGTTATATGACAAAGAAATAAAAGAGAAAAATATTGTCAGACTTTTAAAATAAGCTTCCTTCCTGTTTCATGCGCATGAATATAGATGTCAACTTACTTTAAAGATTGAACGAAAAATGTTGATATTTGGACAAGAAATATTATCGTATTTATAACAATTACCGAGCTCAGACAATCTTAGAGTTTAATTCTTACAGTGAAATTTAATTGTTATCTTATTTGTTCAGAAATTGACTTTAGTTGAATACAATGTTCGATTTATAGATCTTGAAACAATCGATCATATATTTCTTCATTCATATAAATGGATATTTTTTTTCTTAGAAACATACATTGATAAATTTAGAAACGGCAATATCATCTAAACGATATTTTCTTCGCTTTCATGTTGTTGTTCTGCGAAGACTTCTATTACATCGTAGGGCAATAAAACGATCACATCTCTATATAAAGTATTAAATCATGCCGATACGATGTTTTTTTGAGTGGATTGTAAAATTGAGTCTCAATGTATATAGATGATGGAGAATGAAGTAAATTTCAGAAATAATAAACATTTTTTAGAAGATATTGCATGTGTTAATTCTATGAAAACACGTTTTGTTTTTTTATTATTATTTATTCAAGCTAAAATTAAAAATAGTGAATTGAATTGTTAACAAGAAATATATTATGACATGTTAAAAATCCAGTTATTTTTCGTGTTAAAAACAATAGAACACATATTATCCAGGTTATTTGTTGATATTAATTAAACAAAAATGTCAAGACGTCGAGTAATATTCATTGATCTAAATGCAATAGAATGTCGACTAAACGTAAAACTTTTATTCAATTATTTATTCTGTATTAAAATAATTTCTATATATCATAGTAATACATCTACATGCTCTAAAGAAGTATCAATTGAATCACAAGGATTTAAAGTCAAATTTGAGGTTTCTTGTAAAAGACATGATTATTTTTTATTGTATGATCTAGAGAAAAAAGATTGCTACAGGTTACATTGGCCACATACCTTAATAGTATTAGATATAATTGCTTGTCTGATAATTACAAGTCGGATAATCGCCATAATCAAGAAAATCGATATCAAAAATATAAAAATGAGTACTACTACTAGAGAAATCTTATTTATATAACAAATTTCTAAGTTCCAATAATCTGACATTTATTTTTTCAGCTTGTAGTATTATTTACGACAACTAGTTGAAGCGTGACATTTAGTTCATTACGCTAATTAGTCAGTTAATGTTTGATGATATATTACATAATATATCTATTTTCGTTTCAGACACGTAGTGTTATAAGTGGATTAATCACACCAATGTCAATATTAAAATAATCATGTCATGATCTAAATAAGAAATGGAAAAATTCCATTCTGTTTCTTTTTCGATTCACATCTAACTTTACAGCTGATGATTGTGTTTTATCCAAAATAAATTCTTGATATGCTTATAAAGAAGTAATCGTAAGTTGTTCTCTTGACTTAATTAATATTTCTATTGTAATAACCGTATAACATATTGTCAATGCCAAATTCAATGATGCTTTCTCAGTATTATGAACTGAAAAAGTAAATTAAATCTACTTAGATACTGGATAAGTCGTCAGTAGACAAACAATTTAAGCCACGATTAGCCCATATAGAGAATAAGCGCAATATAAAATCTATGGAGCTATTGAAAATATAAGTGCAGACACTTATAATGTACGAACAACAACAACAACAACAACAACAACTGGCTCAATTAGTGGAATTTCTGAACATTGTTAAATTAAAGAGACGTTTATTGAATTCTATAGGAAAATAAGAGCACCTTCTTGAATGATAAGCACAAAAAAAACAACTCGATTTTGTTTTTTTTTTGTTTTGAAAATTCTTAATCAGTATGTCACTGTCTATAATAATCGTAATAGTAATAATAAAAAAGCACCGGCTATAAATATTTAGTAAATTATTTATCTTCAACAGTGGCTGGTCGTAACGGAAGTCTAAAATGATGTGTTTCCGTTGGTCGACGAAGAAATGTTTCCCAAGCTGATTTTTCTGCTTTTGTTGCATCTGACCATTTAACTGGTTTATTATCAAAATGTCCTCTTGCAAGATTAAGACGTACAAAACCAACCATTGTTTTTCGAAAACGTTCTTGAGACCAAATACTGATTTCAACAGATGAATTTTCTAAATTATTACGACGTACACCATCCCATCGTATTGGTATTTCCCATTTGGGTGTTGGACCTTTACGTATTGCTGGTAGTTTTCGTTTAACATGATCAGGCATTAATATACTAAATTAAATAGAATTCTAATTAGATATAAATAAAGTAAATTTTGTTTTTACCCTTTACAAATTGCATCAACCTGACGTTTACCAGAAAAAATAGCTTTTCCTTCGATATAATGTACTTGTAATGTTCCAACTTCTTTATGATTTGGATTTTCAATAAATGTTAATTGAAACTGTATTTCAGCTGATTCTACAGTTGGTTCAATAACTGGTGCTAACTATATTCAATAAAAAACAACAACAGCAAGTCTATTTTCGAAATAAAAAAGAAAAAAAAAAAAGTTTACATCATTTTTTTGCTTTTGAGCAACTAATTGATGTTCTTGTGTTTTATCTAATGTACAATTAGATAATGGAATATGTATTTCACCAAGAAAATTATTTTGTCCTAATGCACCTTGACTCCATACTGATATCCATAAAACGCGAGTTTCAAATTCTTGTTTAGTTACATGATACTATTTATAATAATAAATTATGTTTCATCAAAATTTTATTACAATAAAACAAAAAAAAAACCAATCTTACACGAAGTTTTTCGTCAAAAACTGGATCAGTAGTATTCTTTTTAGTTGATGTTTTACGTTTGCTATTTTTTGAACGATCAGGTAATAAATAAACTTTAACATAACTAAATTTTAAAAAAATCAATATAAATGAATGAATGAATTTATCGATTTCAAAATAAAATATTTACGGATCAGATTTTTTATTTTTTTGTGCTGGAGTTAAGTTTTTACAATTATGTATTAAAATATCTAATGCACCTGTTGTTGTTGAATATGTTAATTTTAATTCAATTGTACCAGATATATCAAGACCATAATGAGCTTTTTTTTCACTTACTACAGAATTTATACTTGATTGTGAACCCTAAAAGAAAAAATTTATATACAATAAATATATAAGAATAAATCATTTTATTAGTGTTGTTGACAAGCATTAAAAATTCAACTAAGCATTGATTGTAAACTTACACGCATATCCATACAGGAAGATGCACGATTTGCTAAACCCTAGAGTGTAATATTCTCAATAATTTAGGAATATTATCATTTATTATCAGAAAATTTTCCTCAATTATTTCTTTTTGTTCTCTAATAAAAATAATTCCATTCTCTTCTCAGTTTTTTTTTTGACTTACTAATTTGGCTTTTTCAAATTTTCCATCAATATCATCATCGTCATCATCATCACTATCAATTTTATCAAGAGTTCCAACACTACCAAATTTATCTCCTAATGTTTGTTTATTGTTATTATTATTATTAAAACGATAAGAATTATTTGGTGATTGAATCGTATCAGTGGTTAAGTTTTGTTCTTGAACTGATCTATTTGATATGAGACTGTTTGAAGATTCATAAATATTAGTATTTGGTTTTGATTTTGAATCATTTATTGTTGATAGGGTTGTGCGAGAATCTAAATAAATTACAAATGAGAAAATTTATTATAAAAAACTATGAAAAAATTTATATTTATGAAGAGAACAAAAATTACAAATAGACAAAAGAAATGTTTTATTGTGTTCGATAACGTTTTTTGTCCGTTGAACGACGTACAGTACGTTTTTTTTGTGGATTTATTATTGATGATGATATATTCGAATCATTATCTTTACTTGATGATATTAAATGTAATTTCGTAAGAATATATTTTGTCAACGATAATTTAACTGGTAGATTTTCACTCGATTTTGTAATAGATATTGCACTTGATGTTTTCTTCATTGATGATTCTGTTGATGGAATTCGTTCTTTTTCTTCATTAGAATTGCCATCACTCCATCGTCGACCTAATAATTCTTTGTCAGTTCTATGTTGAATTTCATTATGATCTTTATTTGTTGGATTGAAATTTATTTGATATGATCGATCTAATGCTTCAATACGATCAAGTTCTTTTGAAAAAATATTACTACTATCATGATCACTTTCTTCTTCATCTTCATCTTCATCTTCTTCTTCGCTAATACTATGTAAACTATGTCTATCAAGAGTTATTAATGGTACTGATGGAATTGTTATAATTTCAGATGATGAAGAAATATCAAATACACTATTTGCACACAATGTATTTGTATCAGTTGGAATTAAATCCTCATCAAAAATTTCTTCACGACTATTACGTTTTTCTAGTATATCAGTCTCTGGATTGAATCTATGTGAATGTCCATATGGATCAGTAATGAATATAGCTAATGGACTATTAAAACCAGTTGGAAATGATGAATGAGTTTGTTGATCTTTCAATTTAGGTTTTGTTTTTTGTATAAATAAATTGTCATCAGCTGAATCTTCATCACTTAAATTACTTAATGATTGCATATGATAATATACTGGTGATGTTGATGAAGTTGATGTCCAACTTGTAGGTGATGAAGAATTATTATTAGTAAATGTATTTTGTTGTTTGTTAACAGATTTTTTTTTAGTTTGAAGTGAATTATCAAATAGAAATGTAGAAGAAAATATATGTGATTGCGTTGATGATGTTTTTGGTGGAATAAAAATAGGTAATGATTTTTCGTTTTTTTTTATTGGTTTTTTCGTTTCAATAAATTTTGTTTTATTAGAGTTTGTATATAATTGAGAATTTGATGATTCATTTAATCTTGAAGTGTTATTTAAATTCGGTCTTCGACGTCGATGAGAATTATGTATTGGTGTATTTCTTTTTTTTATTTTTATTGTCGATTTTTCTGATTCGTCAATAATTGTTGATAATCCATCTTTATTACTATTCTTATCAGTGTAACTTGATAGATTTTCATTTGACAGATTGGAAATAGTATTAATATTTTTTGATTGTGTAAATGAATGTGGATCAATAAACGGTTGAGAATATTCATTGTTTGTTGATTGTTGTTGATCTGATGTTTTTAATTTCCACTGTTGAGTTACTCGAACTACAAAAGCTTCTTCACATATATTATTTTCATTGTTATGATCAGTTAAATTTTTTTTATTTGTAATTGAATGATTGTTTGTTGATGGATAAAATCTTGTCATTTGTTTTTGATTACAGTTTGTTTGTCTTTTATGTATAATGAATAATGATGAAAATTTCCTTGTATACTTTATATACAATACAAAAAGTAATTGCCGTTAATATACTGGCGTTCATTCGTGTGTGACCAGTTATTCATTGATGGGTTATAATCAATATTAGTAATGTGTGAGTCAATATGGATATTTTGTTGTTTTTCGTTGTACCAAGTGTTGCAGATGTCATTAAAAAAAAAGTTTTTTTTTCCTATTTTAGTGTTAATATCCCTCGGGCTGAAGATATTTTTATCTAGGCATTTTATGATATATATATAGATAATGATGATGACAGTTGATAAATAAATCTTTCAACGTATATTTTTTTTTTCATTTGAATATAATTGTCCAGTAATTTGATATATTTTCTATTTTTCTAAGTATGTTGAGAAACTAAATTCTATTCAATAGTTTACGATTAATTACTTATTAATAAATAGAAATCAACATGATATCTATATAGACACTATGTGTTATTTCGATCAAGAATAATTAAAATGTCAAATAATTGTAGATATATCTTTGTGTAATAATAATAAGAAGAATACTATGAATGTATATTAAATATAGTTGATAGGCGTATAATTATGAATACGCAAAAAAATATGTTTGATAGAAAAAAAAAAGAAACGATAAACAAAAAGTATTCCGACGCCGGGAATCGAACCCGGGCCTCCTGCGTGAAAGGCAGAAATCCTAACCACTAGACCACGTCGGATACATACTTGATGGACTTGGTTGATTAAGTATTTGTGAAGATGTTGTATCTAAAGTTTCAGATTCAGGTTTTTGTTCAGACTTTAGTGATGTACGTGATCTCGATAGATGTGGTTTTTGAATACGAAGTACAATATCACGTAAACTTTGCATTGAACCACTAATATTTTTACGTGATGATAAACTTTGTTTTGAACCACTAAGATGCTTACGTGATGACAAACTTTGTTTTGAACCACTAAGATGCTTATGTGATGCCAAACTTTGTTTTGAATCATCTAGAAAATTGTATCAAAAAAAAAAAACAAAAATTGTTGCTTTAATTTACTTTTTTCTAATTTAGGTCTTATTGAAGTATCTTGTGGTGGTAAATTTGGTTCACCTCTTTCTGACTCTGTACCCCATTCAGATGATGTAACAGATGCACAATCAATAGGACGTCTGTCTATATTTTTATTATTTATTATTTGACTGCGTCCATTTTGCTTTGTTGATGATGAATTAGTACTTCTTGGTGTTGATGAACTTCTTTCTTGGTATTTACCATTTCTATTCAAACGATTACTTGGTGATGATGTATAATCTGTATGATTTGCTGAGTGATCATATAATGAATCAACATCATCTGATGAACCACCTGTTAAAATATTTGCAGGTGGAAATTGACGAATTTGTGAAGGCATTGGTTTAGTTGGCGTAATAGGAAATGGACGTTTTTCAACAGTTCGTCTAATGGAATTTAATTTATCTTCATCTGCTAGTGTTTGAACAATCATTCGATTGATCTTATTATTATTTAAAATTTTTTGATTAAGTTCCTTTTTTGGGAACGGTGAATTTGTTCTAAAGGATGAATTACTGACATCTTCAGTTTCAGTATCCGAACTTGATATACGATTTAAATCTATTTAAAAAAAAAGCAAAATAATGATTTTATTAAAATAGAATAATGTATAAATCTAACTTGGAATGGAAACTGTAGGTGAAAGTGATTTGCGTATAATTTCCGATCCACTCAATGAATCTTTACGAAGATTACTTCGAAGACCATATATCCATTCACCAGAATAACTCAATAATTGCCTAAAAAAATTCATATTAGAATTATTGAAAAGAATTCTCTATTGTATATATAAATGTATCCGACGTGGTCTAGTGGTTAGGATTTCTGCCTTTCACGCAGGAGGCCCGGGTTCGATTCCCGGCGTCGGAATATTCTTTTTTTTTATATCTATATTTCTTTTGAACCTACATCTGTTTACAACATAATTGGCATAACCATCCATTATCATTAACATTATACATAAGTCGACATTGTTTACAAACTTTTGCACCACATTTTGGGCACATAGCACCTGTATTAAATATATAACCGAATGGTGCTTGACATCGAGCACATACAGATGTTGATGTTGATTGAGGTTGTTGTTCAAGTTCATTTACTTCTTTTCTTAATTGCCTAAATTATAAAAATATACTTTAATATTTATATAACACATATATATATATATATATATGTATACGCACATAAAACGTGATAAATGTTTACTACGAAGACTTTCATCACGTCCTAAAACATTTAATATATGCTGTTTTTCATTATCTTTTAAGTTGGAAAGATCAGGCAAATTAAAATAATCCTCATCATTAACGCTTGTATTTGTTGTTGAAAGACTTGGAGAATAAGTTAGTTCAGATTTATGATTACGTGTCATCTTATTATCATTATATTTCAGTCTAAAAGTAAAAACGAGAAAAAGAAAGTTATATAGATCTATCTGAATAAATAGATTTGGCGATAAACCATTCATCTATAGTCATTTTTTTAATAAAAGGCAAAAAAAGCTGAGTAAATATGCTTCTATGTCTATTTGTCTACAGAAATAGCTCTGAAGTAACTTTCACACGTGTATGAACACGTATTATTTGAAAAAAAAAAAACAAAAATCTTTAAGTCAAAGTAAACGAATTTTTTCTTTTTAGAGAAAAATAAAATTATTTTATTTGATAATTAATGTAAAAAATTATTTTCTTTAATATAAAACGAAAACTTGTATTTCATAATGTTAATAAGTAACGATGACATATATATTTGAAACAGTGATGACAAATATACATTATTCTACAAGCTATAATCGTATACGAAGAGAAAGAGAAAGAGAAAGAAAAAAACGAGTAGTGAAAAAGAAAAATACTTTTTTGTGCGTTTTGAATGTCTGTATGTTCTTTCTCCTTTCTTTGAATAAAAAGAATCTCAGTATTCTCATCCAGAAACTGCACTTTTAAATTTTGCTGGTTTTTTCATTCTTGTTTTTCTTTCTTCTTTTGACTAGTATCAAAATTGTTCTATAAGAAATTTTCAATTTATTTATTTTGACATTAAAAAAAAAAATTCTCTTCATGTCTTATTAATTAATTATTAGCTGCTATTTTTATTGATGTTTATTGTAATACTATTGAAGTAAAACAAAGATAAGATAAAATAAACTGACATATCGGAATGACGATGAATCTTTCTTTATATATGTTAGTGTTATAAAAAGCAATATTTATATGCAGTAAACAATAAAATGCATTCACGAATAACATACTAATTTTTGCTTGGTTGGTATTCGTATTCGTATACACATATTGGTTAATGTATGTATATTGTAACGACCGTTCTGCATAAAACGAGTGAACAGAACAGATGGCGAAAAACGAATCATCACCTTTACTGTATACATATAAGAGAAAAAAAAAAAGAAAAAAAAATACACTCATAATTGATCAGTAAATAACGATAAAAGAAAAGAGGAAAGGACAATTGACGTTAATACATGAAAAGGACACTTCAATCGTAAATACATATAAATTCATTTTTCGTATTTATTGATCAATCAAAGAAAGAAAATGTTGAACGCATAACATTTACTATATGATATTAAAAAAATAAAAGACATACTTATAAAGATTAATATATGAAAATCAAGTTGATAAGAAAAATTATACAAAATTGAATAAGACATTTGTCGGTTATTTATAATTCACAAGAGGATAAACTAGCAAAATGAGAAAAATCAATTTTGAATATATTAATTTTTTGCAATACAATCATAATTTTACGTAATCATGTCAACTAGGTACATAGTTGTATTTATGTTTATCTTATTTAGGTGTGAGCCAGGCACGCAACCAGGAATTCTTAAAAAGAAAAGCTGTCATAGGAAAAAGGGGCGTCTTCGATTATAAAAACGAATCGTACATACCCTCTTCAGATATTTCAATCTTTTGGGAGGATTGATCCGGCAATTCCCCTCTAGCTACGTCCCTGGTGTAAATGCATTCTTTTTCATCGGAAAATGACTTTGATTAATAACATCGGTTATGTTCTTAATGACAATGAGTCAAAGTATTTATATTTTTCCTTCCTTTTTCTTTCTTTCGTGCATGTCTGGTCACGAATCATGCATATGTTATGCATTCTGATTATCTCAGAAGAGAAAAAAGCCATTATCAAATTAACTAATACAGTGTAATATAACTATACTACAGGACCGTGTTAACGAATACATTTATATATATATATATAGGAAAAAAGAGCTTATTTCAATGATGATCTGATTCATAACATGTTCGCAAAGTTAATTTTATATTCATAATATGAAATAAGCAAGTATGAATATAAAAGACAAAGTTTAATTAGATTTTGTTTTCTTTTTGTAGATGTAAAAGAAACGAAGTACTTACTACTATTATGTTCGTGTCATTTTTTGCTTTTTTGGATCTCATTTTTTATGACATAAATGACGGAGTTGCTGCATCATTATCAATAACGATCACTTCATTGCACTAACGTTTTTTTTCTCTTCTACTGCTTTTTATTACAAATAATAATATTGAGCCGAAAAAAAAATCAGTCGGTGTAGTTACACTCGTATTTGTCTCTTTTTCCCTCGTTTTTCTTTTTCTCCATTAAGCAGACAAACAAGCATTTGGCAACTTGTTAGTACGTCAATCTACATCATGCACTTTGTCATCCATTGTGGCGCATAATCTCTTGTGGGCAGTGAGACAATTTTGGAAAAAAAAATGATGATGTCAGAATGCTGTCATCAACTAAGATGTATATGTGAGAAATTGTTTGCTTTATTAGATCTTATTTAATAAGAATAAGAAAAGCAATAAACGACCATATCTTCTTGTATTTTGTTTTTGTCTGACTGACGATGCGCATAACAAGATATTAAGACCACAATAGAAAATATAAGACATAGATGACATTCTTTTCTGTCTTAAATCATTACAATAAATATGATGAAAATGATGAGTAGAATATTGGATTTCTTTTTATATAACATATATTAATATGAACACATATAATGAAAGAAGAAAAGAAAATTGGTTATATTTCTATTGTCATTTACTTGATCTAGGTTTTCATTCTGTCTTTTTCTGGTTTGTCAATTATTATTAACTTTATTGATGTCTTAATTATTAGGGAGAACAAATAATTTATTCTTTTCTTTGCTATCTCGTCAAGAAATAGAAATGGATAAAAAGAACTATGTATCCTAATGAAGAAATGTTTTAATAGTCAACAACTGATAAATAATAAACAAAACATGAATACAATAGAAACAATTAAATGTCTTTGATAGAATATGCCATTTATCAAATGTCGTCTTGATGTTCTTGACATTAATTGAACTATGCAAAGAATTTAATAACTATTAGTTAATAGTGAGAATAAAGAATAAAAAAAAGAATGATTAGGAAAAAGATTTTTTACGACAGAAAATCAGTTGAAGTTTCTATCATTTAGAAATGAATTTAATTAAGGTAAACATGAAATTTTATCAAATTTTTTTCTCCCAATAAATGAATTCAGCTATGAAAATCACTAGAAGAATTCTAACGACCAGTCATTTGTAATCAGGAAAAGAAAAAGGAATACATATAGCTACGCGATAATATTGTTTCTACATAGGTATAAATCAATATTACATGACGTATATATGTACGTGTCAAAAGGGCCAAACCATTTTCAAGTTCCCATGCATGAAAAAATGCTCAAGTACACGTTAATAATATGTCATGAAAGAATATACAAATTTCTTTATTGTCGAAAATTTCTATTTTAATGCGTCAGTAGTGTCGCCTGTACAAACAAGAATCACCAAAAAAAAAAAAAACGAACGACTTGTATGAAAACATCGAAATCCTTTTTTTCAATGTAATATTTGAAACTTACACAATTTGTTTCATAATATAAACATCTTCGTCATTCCATTATCTATTCGTATCACAACTGATTACAAAACTATTGAATATAATGATCATCCAATTGCTTTTATATACATGTGTAAATGAGTGTTGACAACTATTAGACAAAGAAAATTTATTTTAATGAGAAATAAATAATGACATATTGAAAAAAAAAGATAATTTTTGTACGAGACAGTCATTTGACCTAGCAAAAAAGTGGAATTTTGTAAGTCAATACAAATTCATTGTAGTAGTTTTAGTTATTGTAAGTATGAATTTTTAATTTGAAATATAAGACTTCATCAAGTTTTATCACTTTGATAGTATACAAAGATGATATTTTACCATGTATATATGTATAATATATCTCACATTAACACGCAAAAGGATCAGATAAAAATATCTACTAAAATAACATTAGTGCATAGTTTCGTGTGTTTTAGTGAAAAGTCAAAACAATTGTGTTTGTAACATGTATTTCTATGCATATATTATTGTCTTGAATTTATGCATAAAAATTAGAAATATTTCTAATAACTGGCATAGACATGAATACACATATTTTTCTAAATATTTGCATTTTATTGTGTATGAATAGATTGTCGATGTTCTTATGTAAACTTTTCATTGAAGTTTGTTTAATTGAAAAGAAATTTATTATTTATGAGTAAATAAAGTAAATGATCAAAGGCGCTCTCATTAATCGACTTGAAGAAAGTGAAAGTATGCAATTAATCATTGTTATCATATTATTTTTCTTCAATCTTTATCAAAATATTAAATCAATAGAATATCAAAGTAAACAAAAAGAATGTATTTGTGAATGTTGTTTAGATAATAATGAAAATTGTTTACCAACATTTCGATCGGCTATTAATATAAATCCATTATTAGAATGTAATAGTATAACATGTAATCAACAATCATGTTTAACATTTTCTCAATGTTCAATTGCATTTGGGTATCAATTTTGATCTTTTTTAAACAAATTTAATTAGTGTGTTTTTTTTTTATTTACTTAGAAAGACTGTAGCATCGTGTCAAAATAGAATGATTTTTTCATCATCGACGGTGCGAACAGGCATTTCGAGTTCTTTTGTTCATATGGTTCTAATTCTCAGAACTTTAATTTCATGATGTTAAGATTGTCTTTTCTTCTGTTTTTGTTTTTGACAAACTCGCATTTTAAGTAAATTTAGATATCCGAACAAAATAAATAGCATTTAAAATAAATATTTATTCAGAAGTAATTTCATCCGAAAGAATAACCAGAAAAAATTGGTAATATTTGTTTTTGTTGTTACAAAACAAAAACTGTTCTATAAAACGTTCTTATAGTTGCTCATAGAGAAGCAATTGTGCCCATAATTGAGCCAATGAGAAAAACCGTATGACTATGTTATGTTAAATTATATTATAAGTATATTCGCTTACTATATTTTATCCTTTAATCAACAAAAAATGTTAAAACTACTGAAAATAAATATACTACTCTTTTTATTTCCTTACATACATGTTATAAAGCTTGAAAAAGAACTATACTCAAACAAACACTACTTTAAATATAACATATACAGTACATAATAAATCATATAGAAACATATCTTATTCATATCTATTAGGGTTCAACTAATACAAGTCGACAAGAAGTTGAGAAAAAAATTCGATGTATACCAATTGAAGATGCTATTTCAATTGAATATTTAACTGATCTTTAAAAAAAAAACGAATATCAGACATTAGAAACACTACAAGAAAATCGACAAACACCAAAAACCAACCTTGATTATAGTCAACGAATGAAAGAATCTCTTCGTGAAATATTTTGTTGTTTTTTACACAATGTCCATATAAAATATGATAACCTCTATCTAATGAAAGACTACAATATAATACAAATATCAGAAAAAATATTACTACAAATCGAATGATTTTTATTAAAATGAAATGTATTCAACATTCAAATATTGATGATATTCCAATAGATGTTCAAATTTTATTAAATGATGAAAAAATTCAATTTGATAAAAAAAAAATTGTTTACACTCAACATTATTCATTTTTATTTAGTTAATAATAATGAAGATTAGCACAATAACTTTGAAACAGAAAAATTCTCTCATATCTAATTATCATCATCCATCATCAATGAAACTTGACAATATTTTACAACAACAACAAGCAACATTTTTTTGACTATGAAATTCGTAAATGAAATGTTTCATTTTCTCTTCTTTTCTAAATAAACAAGAATTCAATGAAACTGTCATTCTTACATAAACGAAAGAGAATCAAATGTAAACATCAATCACTTGATTCATTTGTACATGTAATAAAATGTTTGATACGTGCCTTTATTGTTCTTTGTGATCCATTCATTGTTTCAAAAAATGAATTAACGCTAATAAAATCAAAAAATTTTATATTTTCATCATTGATGTTAACACATACATTGACCTTGTGAATATCATTACGATGTAGTTTTATTAATGATACATGTCAATTACAATAAATTATGAAATTGTTGTTTTCTTTGTTTTTTTCTTGTAGCTATTTTCTCTTAACAAGAAGTTAGAAATGTTTGTGAGAAACAGATTAGAAATTAAAATTACATTATAAAGAGTAAAGTAACTTGTGCTTTTATTTATTCATTTTTTCATTAAATGGTAATTGTAACTACATTGATCAATGATTTCAAGCTCCGAAAACAAATAAATTACGTCAGAAACGGTTAGAAAAATTATCATATCTGACAAGAAAGCATCGAAAATCGACAGAACTTTTACGCAGTATTCCATGCTTGGAAATCTGCAGTTTTGTATAATGCCTTCCGGCTGTTTCCTAATGGAAAAAAACAAGAAATTGGTCGAAAGTCATCAGAAAAATGTGTAGCTTTTTCGATACAGAATACCTATTATGACTTATATTTTGACGGCAAGATCATACGCACAATACTAATTAATTATAAGATAATAGAAAACATTGTATCAAAGGAAAACTGTTTCTCAATAATGATAAAATTGTAATATTTCTAGTTTTAAATGGTATGTATAATCCTTTTTTAATACGTTTATTTCATTGAGTTTTTAGCAAGAGAAGTTTTTCAAAAATTTTGTTCTGAACTAATTTGATACAGAATTGAATATCTTGAAAAATTGTTAATTTTATTTTTTAATTAAAATTTTTCTGTTTGTGTGAAATTGAAATGGTACAATTTCAAAAAGATCACCAGATATAAATGCTCTATCTATTTCGAAGGAATGATACGCGAACTTAACAACGAATAAATACAAAAATTCTTTTATCTATTAATGACAGCTATGTTACACTAGTATCGTTTTCGATTAATATTGGTTGATATCAGCTAGTAGGAAACAAGAAATCACTATTGAACGATGAAGTTTTGACAAGTAAGAAAATTTTTCATGGAAATACATCAAAATAAATTTTTAAAACTATTATTGAGTACTTGCTTCAAAGGTAGAGCATAATAGTATTTGATTTTACTGGGCCTATTTGTTAGTATTTGAAGTCAGAATTTTGTTTCAAACAATGTTTAGCTTCGCTGCTAGTTAAAATCTTTTTAATTAAAGAATCTTCCTTTTATGATTGTATTTTATCACGTACATTGTACGAGAGAGTATGCTTAACTGTTAATAACATTAGTTGATCGATTGATACTTGATATTTCGAGATGTAGTGTTACATACTGAAGCTGAAAATAATCTTTCCGAGCTATATGAACAAACATAACAGTAGATCGACTAAAGTAATTAAAAGTTCAGTTTATTCTCTCAGTAATGTTGGATAGATAAAATTTTTATTAGTCTTTTTGATTTCTTCCAAGTTTTATATTGGAAACAAGATTAGAATTTTTGTGACATTTATATCTTTAAATTCTTCTTTAATCGTTTTACAAGAAATAAAGAACTATAAATATTAAAGAGAGTAAAACAAATTAGAATAACTATATTAACAATTTTTGTAATCAAATTGATAAATCCGCAATAGTTTGTGTTATTTCTAGTTGATATCTACTCAAGTTTCATGACATGATTCATATTATAAACTTTGTTGAATGTTGAAAGATTTAGTTTGAGATTAATTGAAATAATATATTCAAAAAAATAATTTTACAAAATATTATTTTTCTAAAGCAAAAAAATAAAAGCAAGCAAAGTCAATTCAATTATTCTTAATTAGTAATATTTGTTTCACAAAATATGTTATATCAAAGCCATCAATTGGTATTAAAAATAATTATTTTCTAATAAAAATAAACTTGGACATTTTGTGTTCTCATTTGAACTTTTCTTTATCGTAGTAATAAAACAAAAAAAAACAACAAATATAAGAATTACTCATTAGAAGTTGTTGTTTTAAATAAATCAACAGGTAATGGTAATTGTTCACCATGTCGATTTTGAACTAAACGAAAATAACGAGCTGGTAGAAAACCATTTTCATTACCCGGACAAAGTATAACATTATTATTTGATACAAAGAATTTAAAATCATCTAAAAAAGAAACCAATAAATAATTTATTAAAAAGAAAAATCAAAAGTTAAATTTTTAATCAAACCTTTCAATGCTTTTTCCATATCGATAACAATATATAATTCAGCATTTGATCGCATTCCTGTTTTTTTGCATAAAGAAAATATTCTTTAAAAAATCAAATTAAATTTATTCTACATACCACTAATAACACCTGATTCTTTAGGTAATCCAGGAGCAAAATGAATATGTGTTCGATTCATTTTTGATAATCCCTTAAAAAAAAAAAGAAAACAACATGAAGCATAACAAAATCAGAAAAAAAAATTTTTGTTCGTTTATACTTTATCTCTAATCGATGGCCAATGTCTCATATAAGTTCCATGTAATACAGTAGGATATTCAGTTGGATCTGTTATTTCTCTCATATCAATATTAGCTTCTTCTAATGAATGACCTTGATGTGCACGAATCATTTCTTTACCTGTTGTTTCATCTATTTTAAGACCAAAACGTTGTTTTCCATCTATTGCAACACATTGATGAATATCATCAATTGTATATTTATTAGCAAATGATCGATGTCGAAGTACATCATCAACAAATACATAACCATCGGATTGAAATTGTAAACCTTCTTTTATAACAGCATGACGAAGAAGCCAAGATAAAGATTTTGATAACTGAATTAATCTTGCATTAGAATTACCAGATGCACCTCGATTCTATTATAAAATTAATAAAAGAAAAACTATATTAATTAATTAATTAATTAATTAAACTCACACTACGATGATGTTGAATATTTCTTGCTGCCATATTTATCTAGAATTAGACGAGTTATTAGTAGCACAGTTTTTTTCATATACAATCGAGTTTTATACCAAAATTACAAAAAAATGACATTATTTGAAGAGTCGAATGAATCATGATTCATGGTATTGCATCATATTTTAATAAACGAAAGAAAGAATGTTGTTTTTTTCTCTTATCAAAGACAGGTGTCTAATTATTCATTGTACAAAATTACGTCAATTTTAATTAATTATGGTAAGACAGTCTTCTCATAAACCTTTTCATCAAATGACATCATTTTCATTCCAACATTGAATCATACTAATTTTTGTTTTCAATTACAGATGATTTTATTAAAAGCCTATATCGAGTTAAAAGTGATCATGTATGACGGAAGTTAAATATTAGAGTTTTTTCTGAATATCTTACAAGCAATGATGAAAAATGTTTTTTCCTCTTTCATTATGTCTACAATAATAAAAATATTAGTAATATGACATACGTTATTGATTTTATTATGTAACTTGAAGGTGAAAGGAAGCAGCTAAGTATGTTGGCATAATATTTTATTAATAAACCCTTATAGAAACAAGTTGTTGAAAAAAAGCTAGTAGCGCAATCCCTACGAGATTAAAATATGAAAGATCATGTAGCTGCTGTCGATAATTACAGGAGATTGCTTTATTCTATCTATTTTGGAACACATTTTTTCATTATTCAGTTACTTTATCCTTGAGATATACAATAAGGAAGTAGTTTATATATTAGAACGAGACGATCTTTGATCGTATATCACCAACATGTGTCAGTCTCTTATCGAGAGGGAGATCTTGCACTAAGACGTCTATCAGAGTCCTGCAGGGTAAGGTTGAACTAGAGTGTTGTTCATATTGCTGAAAGTTTTGGGCAAACAATTTCGAAAATATTTCTGACATGTTTCTGATTTAGAAGAAGTCGATTATTATGTTAAAGCGAAATTAAGTTTTAGTAAAGAAGAATCAGTATTAGACCGGTAGGAAAAAATGGTCATAAAACTATCCACAATTTAGTATATTGGAAAATAGTTAATAAGAGCTCTAACAAGTTCAGCCACAAGTCAATATATTTTCAGTACAAGCGGGAGAGTTTTGAAAGAGAGATGATGGAATTGAGTGGTGACATTATGAGTATCATTTTATTCTGATTAAACTTTTGAAATATGTGATAATTTTGTATTTGATTATTGTTGGAAATCAATAAAATATGCTGAAACACAATGAAGAAAACTTCATGTTGACATATGCCAAAACCTTGGAATCTTAGGATAGAATGGGGTTTAGGGAATGGCATCTAGAGAATAGCGTAAGGCAAGGATACGACAAAAGTCTTAACCTACAGAATTCTGACATCTATAAATCCAAATTTCTATCTCTATACTTCAACACTCCTTTTAGATCGTAAAACTTCATAGAAATTAGAACTTCTTCATTGTGTTCTTGAATGAATAGCTCCTTTGTTTACACAAAGAAAATTCGATATTTATTAATTCAAAATAACTGATTAATTACCTATAATCAAACCTATAAAAATATACAAAATTATCAATACTCCTTGGTCCTTAGATAATCAATATTTTTCTAAAAAACAGAAGATATTTAAAATATCTTTATTGATGTTAATTTTAAATGGCTTTAAAAATGGAAAACAATAAAATTGAATTAGATGTTTAAAGAAAAGAAAAACAACAACAATAAATTCTATTCAAGAAAAGTTAATTGAAGTACACCTTTAGCAAATAAAACAATTTCTTGTCCACCTAATTTTGATTCACCATAAAGTCGATCAACAAATATAATTGGTATTTGTGCAATACGTAATTTAGCTTTAACAGCTCGTACAATCATTTCCATTTGAAAAACGTATCCTTTTGAAGTACATTGACTTATTAATTGATCAAATATAGATTTACGATATAAACGAAATGAACCAGTTACATCCGATATTGGTGGACGAAGTAGAAGTTGTGTTAAATAATTAGCTCCACATGATATTATTTTACGTTTAAGATTCCATCCAGCAACACCACCACCAGGTAAATAACGACTACCTGTTACAACATCATAATCACCTTCACGTTGTTTTTCAATAAATAATGGAATATAACGTGGATGATGTGATAAATCAACATCCATAATAATAATAAAATCTCCACGTGCATATTTTGAACCATGAATATAAGCTGAACCTAAACCTAATTTACCTGAACGTGGTTTAAGAATAATTTTTTCAGGACCTAATTGATGTTGTAATTCAATAGCAATTTGTTGTGTACCGTCAGGTGAATTATCATCAATAATAATTATTTCATGTGGTGTATCATTTAAATATTCTTCAATTAAAGCAACAACAACTGGTAAATTTTCTCGTTCATTATAAGTTGGAAGAAGAATTGAATAAAAAGGTGATTTGGGCATTGCTTCTTTTGTTTTTGTTCCTTTTAGTTTTAATTCAAAATCTAAAGATTGAAATGAAGTTTTTCTCTTTTTGTATAATTTTTTCAATTTATTTCAAACAAATTTTCACTGAGTAAATTACAAGGATACAAAAGAAAAACAATTTGGCTTTAATAGCCTAGATTAACAATCCATCATGTATTTATTTTTTTTTGTTCTTTCCTTTTCTCCGGATTGCCAATAATACATTTTTTTTTGTTTTATAAATACACACTCACACACAATAAAGAATAAGTACACTGATAGACTCATACGAACGAATAAGAGTTACATAAAAACCAGAATGATGAGCATTGGTGGAAAAAAAAGAATGACCATTTGTTTTTATTGTTTTTTTCTTACACTTTTCATCTGGCATTTTATACAAAAAAAAAAGAACGCTGAAATTAACACGAAATAAAGATAATATATGGAAATAAATAATTAGAATAATGTGCAACATCGATTTGTTTTTCTTGCCTAAAAAGAAAACGAAATAAAAATAAAAATAAACATAAGTAAGTAAAGAATATGTTTGTACCGTTTTATAAAATGCTTTTGCTTCAAAACTTAAATCACTTGATCGTGCAACTAAATCATCAATTTTTTCACCACGTTCAAGTACATTAACCAATGTATTTTTCTACACATTAAAAAAAAACAAAACAACAATGCATCTCTTATTGAAATATTTTTAATAAGAAACTTACAAGAATATCTTTTGTATCATCAAGATCTTTTTGAAGACGCATTAATGGATCAGCTTCTTGTGGATTCTAAATTCAAAATTACATAAACAATATTTTATTTCCATATTTATATATCAATATAACCTGATATTTTCTTAAAATTTCACTCAGTGATGCCATTTTACCTGTTCTAATATAAAAGAAATTTATGTGTGTAGATTTTTTTTTGTTAAGAATAAATCTAACTTACTGTTCACCCATATATGCCCATGAAGAAGGTGGATATGCATTAGTAAAATCATCCATAACCTTAAATTAAAAATAAAATACACAATAAAATTTGTAAGAAAAAGAAATATATATATGAAAAATGAATACATACTTTACTAAGTAGAGTATGTGCAACTCGTTGTGGATATTCACTATCAGCAATAATAACTGATGCTAAACCATCTGGACGAACATAAACATGAACCATAGCTAAAAAAAAATAAAAACATTTATAAAATAGAAAAATAAAATTAATGTTTTTTTTTTCTTTTTTACCATTAACATTTTGATCAGCTTCAACGGACTGTCTTGTACCTAAAGTTGTACGTTCAGTAACTGTTCGTGCCGAGAAAACAAGTAATGGTTGTACACTAAAAAGAGAACAAAAAAAAAGAAACATAATGTGAAACTAAATTATATTTGAATAAATTTTACCCACGACGTTCAAAATAACCAAAACTTTCAAGATTAAATTCATCTTGAAGTATTTTCACTTTCTTGTCACCTTCTTTATGTAAAACAAATATTGCCAATAGTTTCATTGTGAAATTTGATTTTTGTTTTTTTTTTTTGGTTATGGAATTCTTAAATAAGAATGATAAAGATCTAAATAAAATTATTAAAAAATTAAGAATAATAAAGATAGAATATGAAGAAGAACACGTGTCAATATAATAATACTTGAAGAATTTTATTACATATTATTGCTGACGTCAACGAGTGGGAGGGCTATTGTCATGACTCAACTATGGGATGATATGGCAGATGGAAACCAATAAAATACTAGTTAAAAAATAAAAAGATGTCGCCTAATGACAAAATAATGGAAAAATATTTTATATAATGACAAATATTACCATTATTGCCCATTACTCATATCTATTTTGCAGTTACACATGTTTGAATCATTGAACATCCAGGTTTGCTTAAAGTTGAGTCATTGGTTTGACACAATAAAAAGGAAATAAATTATAAGTTTTGTGTATGTGAGTTCCGTTTTATGCAATAACACTAGCTTTGTAAAAGTAGGAGAAGACAGTGAGGAAAACAAGAGAACACATATGCATATATATATATGATAACAAATGATAGATAAAACTACTAACACGTATGACAAAAAAGGATAAAGCCATATATGCATTAGTTATCAACATACAAGAGAATGGGAAAAACCTATGAACGATAAATTATAATTCGTAGGAGAAAAAACACAATATGTAATGTATTCACACATATCGAACAAATTCTGAACATAAATCGTGTTGAAGAAAAATATTGTACGTTATTCGAGTTGCAAAGTTCATGGAAATAGAGCCTAGATAAGATCGGTTTTTTTTTAACTTTTACTACAATCTATGAAGCGCTTCACTCTGATCAAATTAAGTTCTTGTTTATATATGACGAATGAATAGAAAATTGTCTCAGCAAAAAGTATCAATAAGTAGAATAAAAAGAGAATGTTAATATGAATTCTTTCTGAGTCTCAATTTTACTTTTATGATCTCATAAAGGTAGACGGTGGTAAATTGCTAAAGAATAATGAACAGTAATCATAATGAAAATCACGTTTCAAGACTTGCTCAAAATTAACATGGATAACATATGGTAAGTTTTTTAGAGAATTCAATTGTTATACAATAGGCATGCACCAAATCCAAAATTTGATTCGTGAACTATTCAATCATTCATGATAGACTCGAGTATTTATGAGATTGTCCAAACATTTCTTGAGCGATATGTGCAATCATGAAGAGACCTTAAAGTTCAGTCGAATTCGGGTATCTGTGATCATTGTTGACTTTCTTTTAGTTGGATGCTTGTAGTTCTTCTGTTTTTGGAACATTTATTTCATTGTGCGTAGATCTACAATGGTCAACATTGAAATTCTTTCTGTTGGCTTATTTCTATGTCCTTTTATTAATCAACTGAAAAATGAATGTAGGTACAACAGAACTCGAACCTTCAGTTGTAAAAGGAAGAGGCAAATATGTCTTCATTCTTCTAAATCCGTCTCTACTGTGCCTATGTTTCTTTCGTTGTCGTAATTTGTGTCATATATATAATGACTCATATTGAATCATCACATATTTGCCTTTATAGTTACCATTTATTATGTCAATATTTTTATAGACAATTTTTCTACTATCTTCCCTTTGATATTTTATTTCAAGCTTTTTTTTTTTCTTTAACTTTTCTCCATTAAGATGTCTGTCAATGTCCACAGACGGTACGATTATATTAACCTAATAAAGCATAAACATAATTACTAGAAATTAGTTAATCCAAAGAAGACATGGTTTCCGTTTTTTATCAGATTTGAATTAATATCAAATTGAAATTGAACATAAGATTAATAATAAATGAAAAGCATAGTTCCTCTCATTAGAGCGAAAAACATATTAATTAGAATGAGATGTTTTTATAAAACATTCGTATATATAGATCTTCTAACATTCTTAGATAGTTCTGATCAAAAGTTTTAATAGATATTCTTTTATTTTGGTTCTTCATCAACCATCGTTTCATATACATGACAGTCTTCAATATGTTCATCTCTGACATATTTCGGAATCATACCACCAAGTAAATTGAATAATAATTCTCCAAAAAAAAAAAAGTTATATAATTGTTCATGAAAAACTTTATTTATAAAACGTTTCAAATATATGTTAATAGTTAATAAAATAAAAATGAAATCATCAAAGAAATAACAATGCATATACATATTTGCATTGATCTTCTTTTTTACAATATTGAAAACGACACATTATATTCTACATAAATCAAACATATTATTTTTTTTTAAACTTTATTCCGATACGTTCATTTTTTTCAAAAAGAATAGTATCAGATGTAAGAGATTTATTTTTCATGGCATTAAATATTTTTTTTGCAGCATCAAATTTTAATTTATGATACAATTGAAAATGATTTACCATTGATATTAATGCCACTTGTTTTTTTGTACATGGTATATGTATTAATATAGATAATGATGATTCTGAACCAAATACATTTGTTGAATTTATTAAAGGACAATCACTAAAATATTCTTGATTCTAGAAAAACAAAAAGTTTTATAAAGAAAAAAAAAAAGAAATTTTAAAAATTATTTACAAGAATAATTTCATTTTCAGAAAATAATTTTATTTGATCCGATGATGTTTGACCATTAATAATAGCATTTCTTAATCGAAGTGCACATTCAGGTAACATTCGATGGTAACATTCTAAATGTCTAGTTAAGTTCGATTTATTATATGTTGATCCATTACAATCTAAACGTATATTATGTTCAAGTTTAATACCAAATACATTTGGCCGAAATAATGGACATGAATAAGTTTTCCAAGTATTATTTATTATAAAATTTGACTCATTAGTAGTTATTTCTAAACTAGAAGGAAAAATATTGAAACATTTAAATGAAGAAAATTTGTTTGTCTGTTTTTTTTGATACTTTGTAATTGGTTCTTCTTTTTTGTCTTGTTTTTCAAATGAAGAATTTTTTATATGAATTATATATGATTTGATTTGTTCGAAATCATGTTGACCGATATGACATTCATTTTCTTGTTTAGATTTAATTAATTTATGTTGTTTATCTTTTATTGAAGCATTTGCAGCTTCAGCAAATGTAAGTCGTTTTCGAATTTCTTGTTGGTTTTCATCATACAAACGATTAATACGATCAATTTCATATTGACGACGTTGAATAATCTAATTTTTTTTATTTTGTAAAATAGAATAGAAATGAAAACTCATACTATTGAAGATTTTATTCATTAGGTCAAAAAGAACTTATGGAAGAATGTTCTAAGTAATAGTAATGATACAATTTAATACGTAATTGAAGATTTCAAGTTTGAATTTTTGATAAATCTTTAGAGCATTAAGAAGTTTAAGTACTGATTGAAAAAGAAACAAATATGTTTTATGCAATAACTCTGTCCACATGATAACTATTGGGTATTTATCGAGGAACAGTGAATTAACAGCGAGTAGTTTTACACTGATTTTTTTACAATATTCTATAAAGGAGAATAGTATACATATATAGAAGAAGGAAGAAAAATAGAAGAGCATAGATAAAAATCCACAGATGTTCAGAACTGTTGTGAGGCAAACTAAAAGGAGTTTTGATCTAAGTTACGAAAAATGATACGAGATCATCGGTTGTCATACATATAAATTCAAGAAAACATCTCCAGACGAAACTCGTAGATTGAATTCATATCTCGGTTATGAGTAAAGAACTTCGAGACTAGTATATTTGTATAGTAGCACGAGCAGGTTGAGTCGTCTTTTAGAATTAGAGCCAATATATTGAATTTCGACATATGTCAAAGCAATTTCGAAAATTTGAAACCTTGTCAGTTCTCTGATCCTACGGACAGTGTAGCGCACATTATGTTGAATGGTCCAGCAACAGTTTATTAGTGGTTTTCGTCCGGTTTGAATCTCATGAATAGTCTTAACATTTTTCATGCATTGTAGGAATATGAGGCTCATCAATGGATATTACCTATTACTATTGTCTCGTTAACCATCTTTTCATTTGAATACACATCAATCAATTTACTTTTTTTTCCTAATTTTCATTATGAAACTATCTAATTTTAATCTTAAAATCCAAATAAATATCAATTGAAAATCATTAATAATCATTTTATACTCACTTGTGTCTTAGCAAGATTCGCTTCTTTCATTAAAATACATGTTGATTTATCTAGATGATCGAGTAAATCTGTAAAATCACGTAAAAATATATCACCATGTTCAATTAAATGTACCAAACAAACATTTTGCATACAATGATGTATACATGAAGAAAATATATCAAACGAACAGCCAGGATGTTGACATGTCATTATAATAAAATATCTGAAGAGAAATCATTTATTTCAATAATACAAAAAATAGCTAAACAAGAAACAAAAAAAATCATATGACAAGTATAAATTGAAACAAATCTTTGTCTTAATTCCTAATATTCTTCGTTTGTTTTTGTAATAAAAAAAAAAAAAAAACGAAAACAATGAAAATCAATTAAGTCTTTTCTATCAGTTCTTTAACTTGTGGTGATCGAAGACGATGAACAATTTGTAAATGTACTGGTAAAAATTTTTCAGTAACCATATGTGTACATGGTGTAGAACGAATTCCACTTTCTTGTGGTGTATTATTTAATGGACATATTTGTTTATCATCAATAGTAATTATTTTTGTATTTGAAGGAAATATTATTGTTTGTATTGGATCTAAATTAAGTCTAATAGCATTGATTAATTCATTTGCATAATGAATTGTCAAATGATGATAAATATGAAAATGTTTAAATAAATCTCGAATTTTTTTATTCGGAGAACATAAAGGTACATTATGTGATGATAATAAACCATAAATATTTAAACTTGTCAATGGACATTGTGTATATAGAATTGGTGTTTGTTGTACATTAATTCTATTTTCTTCTACAGCTAAATTGAAAAATAAGAAAGATTTGAACATAAAAATAAATCATATCTTCTTGATTGTGAACATTTTTATCTTAATTGAAGGAGAATAATGTCTGCTACATCCTTTGAGTGAGTCTAGTATATCGTGGATTGTCTAACGTACTTTTTTTTAAACATGTGCTGTAAACGAAAGTATTTGAAGTAATAGAGATGAAATTATACAAATAAAATAGAGGATGTGGTGTGTATATGTGTGTGATAATGAGGATGAGAAAAAGAAAAAACTCACACCAACACCCTATTCAATTATGTTTGATTGATGACTTTTTTCTACTCAACAAATCTTGTCTTAATTCTACAATGCAGCCATTTTCGTGTCTCTCTCTCTCCTTTGGATTCCGCTTTGCGGACGTTTTCCTTAACTAGTTAAAAAAAAGTGTATACAATCAAGATGTAGTTATTAAACAAATAAATAAACCTTTTAAAGAATTCTTATATTGATTTATTTCTTTTGATAATATATCAATTTGTTGAAAATCATTGTGTGTTAATAAAATTTCATCAGTTTTTATTTGAATTAAATGTTTAGATATTTTATCAAATTTTTCTTTAAACTTATTTATTATAATTAATGGTTGTTCAATTTGATTTATTTGTTTTTCATAAGATTGTTTAAGACATTCAAGTTGTTTATATTGTTCGGTAGTAAATTTTTGTTTTTTTGTTTCCATCAAATTTGATAATTCATTTGTTGGATTAATTAAATCTTCAAGTAATTCTTCAAATTCGTTTATAAGTGATTTTCGATGTTCATTTATATGTTTTTCACAGAGAGACCAATGACAATGATTTGTACATATAGAATGAATAGGATAAGAACAATATGGATGTTCACATGACATCTAGAATTTAGAAATTTTTATTAGAAAAAATTATGAAATAGAAAAATAATGAAAAAAACAAAAAATTTTATTATAGTTTGTTTGGTATTGTCTATGATGATGATGATGATGATTGATTGTCTGAAATAAATAATAAAAAGAAATAATTACAATTATTTTATCTTCAAACTCGTTCAAGAGAATTTGAAACAGATAGTTTACAATCAAATTAGATTATTTATTATCTTATGAAACGATATCTCTAGTCAATAGTAGTACGCTTGATGAGAACAGGAAAAGCAAATTAAAAACAATGGTCCTTTCGATGATTGTCCTAGATGATTATTCAAAATGACTTTGTGTATTCCTATCTGAAAGTAGTGATTTGAAATATAATCTATTAACTATTTAACTAAAAATGATTGTCATATTCGAATTATGTATTTCTTTCTATTGTGCATATAAACAAAACAACAAAGTTTGACTTGAGAGCAACCTTCTTAATGTATTTGTTAGTCTTATCAAAATCTATTTAAAACTAGAATATAGAATCGAATGATGTTTTATAGAACAGATCGTTACGGAAAGACTATTGAATAATTTAATCAACTATGATTTAATATTCTTGTCTATGAATTTCGATAAAAGACTGAATTACTTTATGCTCTGTTAAATATTATTGAAATCGACAAATGGCTGTGTTCAGAGTCTGTACGAAAAATTTAAAAACAAGAAAAGTCGATTGTGGATTTCAGTATTTTATCGAACGTAGAAATCGAGAGAATGACATTTTCACAGATATTAAATTCACGTTTCTCGAAAGTATTTATCGACCTCATCAAAGTTCTAAATGATCTCTTCGAAAGAGAAAATCTCTATAACATACTACTGGATTTCTCTATTTAGGATAGAAAAGATTAAAATGAATCATAATAAATTTAAATAATAATGAAATCTAATAACATTTCTTGATATCATTTCGGTTTTATGAACAGCACTGAGTATCATAACTGTCTATGAACATTTTTCATATTAATACATATAAATAAATAATATCGTTATTCATAATAACCTCAATGAATTCATTCTAAGAATTATTCTTAACAGAACATAATCAGATTTTCTATTGTATTTAATTGAATTTTTTTTTCTGCTGTGTGTTAGTTTAATCATTGGAGAGAAGATATTGTTCAAACAACAAAAATACGAAATTATTTTCTTTTTTTTCTCTTTGTTGTAAAAAAGCATTCGATTTCAGCTATCAATTTTTAATAATAATCAAATTAAAATAGTATTTTACATACATTGATATTTTTTTTGTTGTCGTTCTATTTAAATCTATCTTCATTAAGATCAAGTTTCGTTATATCATCATTATTTTTAATTGCTTCAATAATTTTATTATATGTTTTTAATGTAAAACGATGAAATTTTAATAAATGTCTTTTTAATGAACTTTTAAAAAATGGTCTTTTACAATTAAAAGATTCCATTTTATTTAATGGACATCGAATAAGATGATAACGTTCATCAATAATATTAGTTTCAGATTGAAAAATACATGTTGTTAAAGGATTCAATTTATTAATTATAGCCTTTGCTAATGTATATGATAATGTTGTTGTTAAATGATGATAACGATGAAAATGTTTGAATAAATAAAGATCAGATGTTGTTTTATCCAATGAACATAAACGTAATTTATGTTTATTTGTTAAACCATATATACCAAGATGAGTTAAAGGACATTGACCACGAAGTTGTATAATATCATCATATTTTGTATTACTATTTAATCCATGAATATAATCAATATCGAAATCGATATCGGAGTCAAATGGAGAAAATGTTTCGATATCATTTTTATTACTAGAAAAGAATGAAAAATCAACAATGAAAGTTTCTAAATCTTCAAATAGAAAAAGATAATTTTTTTAATTACATTTTCATTATAGTTTTATCATGATTATATTCACGAATTTTTGATAAATATAATTTAATTTGTTCAATATCATATTGATATAGAAAAGCTTGACCATTTTTAACATCAGTTAAAAGTTGAAGTTTTTTTTTTATTAATTTTTGTGTTGAAATAACAAATTGAAATTGTTGTTCTAGTTCATTTAATTTATTATTATAATTTTCATTAATTATAGAGATATCTTTTTGATATTTAGTATTCAAATTGTTTTTTATTTCTTCAGTTGAATTAATCAATTCATTTAATAATTCTTTAAGATTATTAAAAGATTTTTCATATTGAACAAGAAATAAATTTTTATGTTCAATCATATGTTCTTGACAAAGATCTAATTGACAATGATTTGAACATGTTGCTAATACTAAACGAGCACAAAATGGATGTTCACAGATTTTAGACATAATTATGGGTATTTTTTGAGAAAATATCTATCCAATGAATTATATTTGAACAAAATGAATGAAAAAGATTGCGAGCGTTTGGAAGGAGGGCTGATGAGAAAGAAAACGGAAGTGACTTTTTTCGTTTCAAGATAATAGAGGTCACTAGTAATAAAATGAAATATAGAACGATGAATAATATCTATTATTAGTAAAGTTATATACTTTATCTAAAGACTTGATAAGTTACTATACAAGGTTCTGATGGTGGTTGATGTTAAGGTAGAACATATGTCCACCAGGGCTCCAGATAGAATAGAATAGGACGAAAAAATCGTCCCATGGGGTCAGTTAATTTAGTCCATCTCATTCCATGAAATTCGACTTTCATGATTTTCTCATGTTCTTATTTCCATTTCTCTCTAGTTGTGATTGTTTAGATTAGTAAATTTCAGATTTTAACTTTTACACTATTCATATAAATCCTACTTGTTCTTTATAAAAACAAAATAATTGATTTTGGAGTATCAGTACATTGTTGAACTTCAACGAATAATATACAGTGCGAAGTACAGTATTTATTTAGTACTTTGCGAGTTTATTTTTTACTTTCTCAATACATAACTCGAATCAATATTTTGTGTGGCGATGATATATAGATCGAAAAGTCGTAAAATAGTCGTTCAAACGTTGTTATAAAGTCATATGATCATTTTTTTAACGAAACTTCAACATAAAGTCCCATTCATTCTCAATTCGCTCCAAAAAATGACGATTTTGAAGTGAGCACTCTGTTTTTTTTTGTTTTCGAGATTATAAAAACGAGTTGCAGTAGCAACAATGATTAGATCGAATGTTGCTGTCATCGTTCGAAGTTTCCGTCATATCGAAGATTAGTTATTGAAATTTAAAATGTGTTCATCAATCTGGTGTTTTAAAATGAAACTTTAATCAATATGATTACATATAAATATAATTGATTTAATTTGACTTCTACTTGATAAAAGTTGTTAAGTACTGCTGTAAAGAGTGTCTAATTTATCGTATCGTATTTCAAACCATTATATGTTACTTTCATTTTACTATAGAGTACTAATCGAAATCAATTCGTTGAATTGTTCGTGATCAAATTTTTATATTCGAAGAAATAGTTGCAACATGTTTTCAAAATGATATCTCTTAGAGGGAATATAAAAAATGAACTAATTTTGCAACTGGATATAGATTACAACGACATAATAATGAAAACCGTAGAAGAATATTATAGACGTTATGTCCCGTTTTTCAAACAAATTAATGATGTTAGTTTCATGTTATTTTTCCTTGAGAATAGTGTGAGAACATGGATGCAAAAGATATTTTTTGTATTATATACTAGAATTGATTAAATTTTCATTTGAAAAAAAAACAACTGTTGCCAAAAATAACAACCATTTTACGTATATTTTTATTGGCATCGTATGGTACTAAAGTCTCAATTGAGAAGAAAAGAAAAAAGCCTGAAAATGTGCGACGTTCAATTTCTATTAACAATACTACTTTGTTAGTCTCAATTCTGTTCATTTCTGGTGAAAGTCTGTCAGAAACCTATCTCGAATCCTAGTAATACCTGTTTGTAGGATTTCTCATTATTGAACAGGATTCTTATCAGTACTTGTTCAAGTTCCTGCTCAGATATTTTTCCAAAATGAGGATGCAAGATCCTACTAGGATTCACTCTCAATCCTATTCAAGATCCTCATAGCATTAGCGGATAGAATTCTGCTAAGATTTCATCAAGTTTTAGCCACAATCTATTCTATATCTTAGTACAAGAATCCAGTCGAGAATTATAGTCATATCAGAGGAGGATCTTAAAAAGAATGATACAAGATTAGTCAGAGTTATAAACAAATAAATCGTAACATGTTTTGATTAGGATTCTGCTGCAAATTTTTCAGAAACTAGAGTTTTTAGATTCTTACAAAACAATACCACCCATGATCAAAATCGTGATAGGAAGATACAATAGTCTAGCTTGGATCTTTGAAGATTCGTGTCAAGATTTATAAATCTTTAGATCACAATATGAACTTTAATGCCAATCTTAAATTAAATCTCAATAGTGATAAATGGGAGGATTTTTGAATTTTCCACTGTGTTTTACTCCGAGTCTGGCAGAATTAAGAAGCCTACTAGGACTTTATCCTGGTCACGGTTGGATCTGTGTATAAACAAACAGAGAACTTATGGCAATATTCCAGAATTTTTTTATAAGCCTCCTAAACATTTATATCAAAATTGATACGAGATATAAATCAGAAAACATCAGGTTTTTTGAGCCATTCTGAAAAGGAATTTGAAAAATTATAGAATGTTATATAATTTCATTTTATTTATTGCACTAATTGTTTTCATTAAATAGCTACTTTTAGTAAGAAACAAATCGATGGGTAAAACTTGTTCATAATTTGGATTATGTGTAGACAAAAAATTAGAAATAGATTTTTCTCAGGCGAATAAGCTGATTGGTTTATAAACTAAATGTCTACAGAGCGATACTCAATGTGTTCATGAATATTCTTACTGACGAAAAAAAAATCTATTGCTTATTTTAGACTTCAAAATATTTTATATTAAATATATTTAACCGAATGTTTGGATAATCACAAGAAGCATACAACTAATGATTATAGTTACTTATGTTAAGAACAATAGGAAGCCGAAATAATCAATAAATTTTTATTAAATACTTTATTTTTACTGGATCTCATAGCTGTCATGAGGAAGAGAAAGTTGCATTGTATTGAGTTAACAGAAGAAAGCAAGTGCATGAAAAAAGTACAAGATCATACAAACAATCGCGAATATAGAAAGCAAATAAAGGACGATAAAATAATTGAAATCGAAATCAACAATCACAAACATGAATATATCTTTCACCAAACAATGTTATCTAGCGAGAATTCAATTCTCGTATATCTGCTACCTTTAGTATAATCACACATTTATCGTTTAGAAGAGATTGATCAAAGATCCACTGATGAGCTAAACCTAATATATCGAGACCGGTCATAAGAACCATCTCGAAACGTCTTCAATAAAAATACAAACAATCGAGTAAAATATATTCACTTATAATCGAAAAGAAGAAATGGTCGGATCAATAAAAAAGAATGGCGTGTGTTCAAACAAAATAAAAGCAAAACCTATAACTATAAAAATTTTGTTGGCATGATTGAATCGTAATTTGCTGTTTGTATTTTAAATAAAATTTTAAGTATAAAAGTTTGAAATCGAATATTGGTCAAAAATATGATGAAGAAAAGTTTCATAAGAAATAAATTTGCAAGATATCGAAAATTTTTAATTCGTATTCACTGATATCCTTCAAAATAAAACCAAAGAATTGTTTACATAATCAATTATTTATTTATTTGATCGTCTTTCAAAAAAAAAAAAGAAACATTCTCAATCGAACTTTCATTATCAAATACAAACACAATGAATCATTCATCTCGTTCTAATGAACCATATCCTCATGGATGTTAGTTTCAATTTTAAAATATCTATCTACTATTATTTTTCTTTTGTTTTGTATTCAGATGTTCCATTTCAATTAGAACTTGGTAATGGTCTATTACATAGTGTTAATTATAAAAATCTTAATCGACAACAAGACAAAAATGATTATCATTCAAAATCTATTGAAATTACACGTAATATTAATACTAGAATTAATTATTTATCATTACCAGAACCACGATTACAACTTGTTAAACATCAACAATTACTTGATTTTAAAAATCAAATTGAAGAAGATTTTTCTATACGTTTTCGATATATGAATGATAATGAATTAAATCAAATATTTTCTAATATAAATAAAAATGATACTAATCGATATATAAGAAGTTATCATTATTTATATCAATGTGCACTTGAATCAACATTAAAATGTGTTGATATAAATGAAGAAATATCACAAATAAAATATTTAATAATATATAAAAATGAAATTTTACCTATATTAATACATAATCATAAATTAGCAAAACAAGAAAAAAAATTTTTATATAATATAGTAACAAAAACATGGAAAAAATTTGATGAACGTATACAAAATGAAATAAATGTAGAATATCAACTTGAACAATTAAAAGAAGAACATCAAAATTTAATAAATATGAAAATAAAACAAGAACAATGTCAAACATTTTATTTACAATTACATAATATTAATAATGATGTAACACATTTAAAACGAGGTTTTTATTTTGACATATGAAAATTCTTTTAAGAATTATCATTGTTTCTTTTGTTTTCTAGAAATTCAACAATTAACTGGTTATAAACGTACGTCGAGAATTTTTTCTTATAAAATCTTGTCTTTTATCATTAGAAGTCGGTCATTTCTGATTATCGTCCGCTGTGTATAGTTTTTATAGACAATTAATGAAATAACTTGATATGAACGGGACAAGCTCTTGTATTTAGTCTTTAGTTTCAAATACTTTTTCACCATTATTTATGAAATCAAAACATCTTGCTGTAACATTGCAGTCCATTTAGTGATTAACGTGTTCCTTCATAAATGCTCAATTAGATATGGATACTTCCATAGGTATTCAACCACAAAAAACACAAAGTTCTCAGAAGATTTTTTCGTATGTAAAGCTCATTACGCTGATCATTTTGATAGAAAAACATATTCAAATTTACTCAATAAATCATGGTGCTAGGACTAAAATACTCAAGAATTTCGGCTACTTCTGATTGCTATTGAGTGGTAGTTGGCGTTTTCGAGTATTTTGACCTTAACACCATGATTTATTGAGTAAATTTGAATATTTTTTTTTACCAAAATGATCAACACAACGAGCATTACAAAGTTCTACAAACGAAAAAAAATCTTCTGAGAACCTTGTATTTTTCGTGATTGATCGCCTCTGAAAATATCTATCAAAAATACAATTCATAAGCATTTTGTTGTTGATAGAAAATATAGAAGCGGATTTTTTCCTAAAATCAAATAATTTAAG